AAGGCCAGGAATTCTCCTCTTCAGATTCCATTGCAATGGCAAGCTCCTCTGGATCTTCTATGGCCGATTGAGCAGACCTATTAGCATGTCCTTTTGATCCTGAAGAGGAGTCGGTCACAGTGGGTCCCCTTGCACCCCAACAACTGGCCATTCATCCCCCACCCGGAGCTCGCTCCCCGGAAGATAGAGGACCCGATCGTTCCATAGAAATGCAGAATATCATTGCCAGGGCTATTTCCCAAGGAATAGAGGTTGCAATGGGCCAAGCCCCTGTGCAAATCCCGCCCACCCCTGACCCCGGGGCCTCCACAAGATGTTGCTCAGCTCCCTCAGTCGTTGCACTCATCCTTGGCCAGTGAGGACTCTGACCGGGAGGAGGATCTCGGTCCGGGCTAGAACTAGAATTCTCTGGGGATGAGACTGCTGTTCCCAACAAGCCAGCCTTTTCTGGCTTGTTCAAGTATGCTCATTTCAAGACTATTTTGAACAAGGCTAAAGCCTTGACCCACTTGGGTACTAGCACCCCAGCTCCGGATGCTCCTGCACCAGAGGACCTCAGTGAGGGACTCTTTGAGAAGCCAGAATCTACTCAGGAAATTGTGCTGGTTCCAAAATTGTTCCTTAATGTAATGCTACTTCTAGTGATAATGACAAGAAATTTTACATGGTTGATCCAAGTCTAGAAGACTTACTGAAATTGCCTCCCATGGACGCGCCTGAGCAATTCAATGCTCCCCCCCTGAACTATTAGAAGGGTTCAAGGCGGAGGACAAAAGGGTTGAGAACACCTGAGAACACTCATCAGGCGGCGGCTTGGGCCATTAAAGCTTCCGCTTCTGCGTCCTTTCTGTCCAAGGCGGTGCTACTCTGGCTGAGACAGCTCCTCGCCAAGCTCCTGGCTGGGGATACCAAATTAAGGCAGGATGTTAACAAAATTATTGCAGCAACAGAGTACATTGCTGACACCACTCTGAATCCTAAATTTGCCTCTAGATCCCACCAAGCGCCTCTTATGGCTCAGGCATTGGAACACAGATATCCGCTCCAAGTGGAAGCTTGCCTCAGCTCCTTTAAGGGTAGCAAGCTTTTGGGGGAGGCCCCAGATCATGTCCTTGTTGAAAATAAGGACAAAAAGAAGGTCATGCCTTCGGTCAACAAAAAATCTGACTGCAAGGATTCGCAGACTTATAGGAGGCAGCCCTTTCGGAACTTGGAGCAGCAATCTACCTCCAGTTCCTTCCAACGTCCCTATTCTCAAGGCACGGGTAGGTCCCAGGACCATCAGCCCTTTTGTGACAGAAACAGTCAACAGTCCTTCTCTAAATGTCCCTATCGCGGAGGGTCCAGTTCCAGACCCTTCAGACGTAATAAGTGACCATCAGCGAACGGCTCCCATAGGAGGGCATCTCCAGCTGTTCCATTCCCAATGGGAGCGGATCACGTCGGACCAGTGGTCCTTCAGACGATACGCATAGGTCTAACGTTAGAGTTCATTTCCCCCCCCTTCCCGACACTTCGTTCGGTGTCCAACCCCCTCCTATTCAGTCAAGAGGACTCTCATGGAACAGGAGATCCTTTACCTCAGAAATATAAATGCCATAGAACCGGTTCCACCAGGTCAGGAAAGGACAGACTTTTATTCAATACTCTTCCTTGTCCCAAAGAACTCTGGGAGGTAGAGGGGGATCCTCGATCTAAAAAAGCTAAACCATCATATAGCATACTGGAGCTTCAAGATGCAGTCCCTTCAGTCAATTCTGGATTGCATCAAGCCGGGAGATCTCTTAACATCCATAGATCTCAAGGAGGCCTACCTCCACATCCCATTCGCAAAGCTCACCACAGTTTCCTGAGATTCTTTTATGCAGGCTGCCGCTACCAGTACAAGGTTCTGCCATTCGGCCTGTCCTCGGCACCTCGGACCTTTACAAAAATCCTAGCTGTGGTGGCGGCTTTCTTGAGACCTCACCTGGTGTGCCTGCATTGCTACCTGGACAATGTCCTCATTCAGTCATCGTCATGGCAACAAGCGATGCAAGACCTGCAATACACACTGCGAACCTTCCAACAACACAGGTTCTCCATCAACAAGGAAAAGAGGCATCTGCATCCGACACCACCAGTTGCCAGGCCTCCCTGTCTCCAAAGCGGTTGGCAAGCATCAGAAGCCAGGTGTTGCAGGTACTGCAGTCATTGCAGGCATCGATCGTGCAGCTGTCATAACTCCTTGGCAAGATGATTTTGTGCCTGTCAATAGTACCTTGGGCACGCCTTCATTCTCGACACCTACAATGGCTCCTCCTGCCCTACCAGAGGGCCAACATGAGCAACTCTCAACAGTTGATTCGTGTCTCACCAAAGGTACGTCAGTCCCTCCAGTGGTGGCTGTCCCCCGCACTGGCAAAGGCCACCCTTTTCAAAGAGTCTTCCTTTGTTCAAAACTACAGACTGGACAAATTTGCTTCTGCGGAGGTGGCATTTGGGAGGCAAGTTCTCTAGGGCATTCATACTAGCGGAAAGACCCTGGATGCTTTCGCTTCCCGCCCTAGTGACATTTAGCTTGGATATGTCCCATGCCTGGACTCTCCAGAGTTGCATCCAGAAAAATTGGCTTACCTGAAGGGTCCTTTTCTGGGTGCTGTGAAAGAGAGTCCAACCCCACCCTGGGGTCTGCTCTGCCATTTGTCATATGATTTCTTCGGATTTGTAGATAATTTTTTAACGACCTTCATTGACTTGGTTCCTGAACTTCTTAGCACACATTGTCCACGCCTTCATTGAAGAAAATCTGAGGATTAGTCAGCACCAGAGGTGTGGCATAAAGTTTCAATTTAGTCCTGGGCAGATTGGCTGTATTTAACCCATGCTTGGACTCCCCTTCACAGCACTCAGAAAAGGGCCCTTCAGATAAGCCAATTGTCATTCTCTTTCTCTCTCTCTCTCTCTCTTTCTTTCTTTCTTTCTTTCTTTCTTTCTTTCTTTCTTTCTTTCTTTCTTTCTTTCTAACTTCCTTCCTTTCTTCCTTCTTTTCTCTTTCCCTTTCCTTTTCTTTCTCTTTCTCTCTCTCTCTCTCTCTCTCTCTGTGGCTCTTTGTCACTCTTTCTCCCTCCTTCTCTGTTTCACTCACTCACTTACTCACTCTGTCTGTGTCTCTCTCTTTGTGCCTCTCTGTCTGTCTGTCTCTCTCACTCACTCACTCTCACACACAGAGAGACATACACACACATATACTGTGGTCGCCTTGTTGAGTGTTCCAATCACATTTGAAACATTCAACAACTGGCCTTTATTTATGGTTTTTTGCAGCATTCTACAGTCATAGGACCAAAATATATGGTTAAAAGTACCTGGCAGCAGCGGTTTTCCCTGGGGGGCTCCGCAGAACATCCCAAGACCGATACCACCACATCTGCTCCCTTCAGGGACAGGTCGTCTTCAGAAGAACGAGGCCTCTGTGGTCCCCCTCATGTTTTTCGTCTTCCATGCCATGGAAAACATAGGTGCGCGCATGCCCCGCACAATTCCAGCCCAGAGTAGGACCAGAGCCCCTCTCCCAAATGGCCCTTCCTCCCTCGGAGGGCTTTGGAGGGCTTCGGAGGGAAGCTTCTGCAGAAGCCCGGGCAAGTGAGAACAAGTTCCCGCCATTATGATGTTTCTGAGGTTGTAATTGTGTGGGGGGGGGTTCCACATGCCTATGTTTTCCACGGCGAGGAGCCACGCTGACGTTCTGCGTGGCTGGAGCATCGGCGCGGCAATAACTCCGGAGCCCATCTGGGAGGACAAGGAATGCAAGAGGGACCCCGTCTCCTGTGGATGGGCTCCGGAGTCATCGCCAGCCATGCAGAGTCTCGGTGTGGCTCCACGCCATGGAAAACATAGGTGCGTGCACCCCCCCACACACAATTACAGCCTCGGAGACTTCGTAATGACGATAACTTATTCTTATTCGCCCGGGCTTCTGCAGAAGCTTCTCTCCAAAGCCCTCTGAGGGAGGAAGGGCCAGTTGGGAGAGGGGCTTTGGTCCTGCTCCAACCTGTAATTGTGCGGGTATGCGCCCACCTATGTTTTCCACGGTGTGGGACTGTGGCCAGAAGATGAATGCGAAGGGGACCAGTGGGGCCTCGTCCTTCTGAAGAGGACCTGTCCCCGAAGAGGGCAGATGTGGTGACATTGGTCTTGAAATGTTCTGTGGAGCCCTCAGGGAAAAACACTGCAGGGGATGGCTTTTTAACCAGGCAGCTGTCAGAGAGAAGAGGGCAGTGCATGCTCGTGTCTTAAGCGATCCCTGTGAAAGGGTTGTTCGACCCCCAAAGGGGTCGCGACCCATAGGTTGAGAACTGCTGTTCTAAATGGGTTCTTCAGTGGTGAATTTGGTTCTTGGTTGACCTGTTCTCCACCCTCCCTTCAGCCAGAAATTACTAGATTATTTCTTCAAGAAGCTCTTGGAGAGCATCCAGCCATCCATGGAACAAACAAAAAAACCAATTTCAAAAACCTTCCCTTCCCCAGGGAAGTTTCTTCAGAGTTAGAAACCAACGCTAAAATTGAGATATATCATCAAGTTGCAATTTTCAACAGAAACCATCCCTCTTTCCATATCCATTTTATTACTTCTGTCTCCCATTTTTAATGTATTATTTGCTCTAGCTTGTTGCTGGATTTGTGGTTGTTTCTTTTATAGCTGAAATCAAGTTAAAATCTGCCATTGGGAATTTCTTATATGAGGGTAGAATAGTAAGCTTTTGTCTATTGGCTCTGCCTTGTTAATTATGTCACGTCCATATTCTGCACACAGAAAGAAACTTCATGGTAAGTCAAACTTTCTGTTTCTTCAGAAAGAATTGCCAAAAAAAGGAAGGACAATTCTGCTGAATTGTCTTCTCACTGATCAAATTGAAAAGTAATTTAGACCGAAGTCAATCTACACATTTGACAAATGCTAGTAATGGTATATATGCAGGAAACATTTAAATCACATTTTGTTTGACATTGTTTTTCAGACTTCTTGAAGAGACCATTGGAGAACTATGTGAAAAAATTACGAATACCAGTGTATGTGATTCGAATGGAGCAGCGTTCTGGACTCATCAGAGCCAGATTGAAAGGAGCTGCTGCCTCTAAAGGCCAAGTCATTACCTTTTTAGATGCTCATTGTGAATGCACTGTAGGTTGGCTTGAGCCTTTGTTAGCACGGATTAAAGCTAATAGGTAGTTATTTTTTTAAACGTGTTAAAGATTGATATTTATTAATTTAGTTAACTGTGTTTATAATAATAGTCTTTCAAAACGACTAAAATTAGTTTCTTTTGAGGACTTTGTTGTTCAGTAGAGCATATTTTGACAAAAATAAGCAGCAGAATAAACCCATATTTAAATGGACTGTGTGTGTATAATGGATTGAAATTCCAATAATTACAGTTATCCCTGTTTTTCCCCAAACTTTTTTTAAAAATACAGTTGCTTTTTTAAAGCAAATAATATGGGTTCATCAAATGTTAATGTTATAGTTTGCTACTATTTTACTTTGAAAGCTGTAGAGTTTCAAAGAATCTCACATGTTTTGCCTGGAGTACTAGCTTTGTTAAAGTCAACTGGACATAATCTTTGTAATATTTCATCCTCAAGTTCTAAATCTGAACAGGGGTCCAGATGATTTAGTGACATACAAGTCTCTAATAGTCTTGTCCATAATGATACGTCATCATTACAGTTAGTCTCCAATGTTTAAAAATTAGAATCAAAATCATTTAATAATATGCTACATAATTGTTCCCCTATAGTGAATAACACATAGCAATGTTATTATCTTTTGTCTATAACAATTTATGTCATTTATTTCTCTAGGAAAACTGTAGTTTGTCCTATCATTGATGTAATCAGTGATGACACATTTGAATACATGGCAGGCTCTGATATGACTTATGGAGGATTCAACTGGAAGTTAAATTTCCGATGGTATCCTGTTCCTCAGAGAGAAATGGATAGAAGGAAAGGTGATCGGACTCTTCCAGTTAGGTAAAGAAAGCTGATTCTTGATTAAACTGAATACTTTAATGGATATTCAGTTTGATGGATATTCCTTTGAGGGTTAGAAATAATTACAAGGCTCTGTGATTAATGAGTTAATGTGAAATATATTTCTCAGGAGGTCACAGTCAACAACCTGAAACCACTAGTCCATTTCCAAAATCAGAGGAAGATGGAAACCATTCCTCCACCCAGAAATAAAAATCTTTAAGCTGTTAACACTGTCTAGACCAATGTCCTGTTTTATGAGATGGGCAATATGAATATGACAAATAAGTAAAAAATGATCCATAATTTTACCATAATTATTTATTTGATAAATGGAAGTCACTGAAATTGTTTTGTAATGGCTTCACAACTTTTCTACGATTTCCATATGAGCTTCCCTATAATCTCCATATCATGCCTATGGAAATTTATTCCTGCCAATTTCTCACCTAGCTATTGAAAAAAGTGACAAGCATTATGTGATTCAGAATATTTTGAAGAGTGTATAGCAAAAAAAGGATGCTATTGGTTTATTTTCAAGTTAAAATTTTATTTATTAATAAAATTTATATGAATATGCAACATACTCAAGAATTCCTGTATTAAAGCCAAATACTGTATTTGCAATAATTAATGCATTTGTGTTTGTATATAGTGAGGATAATGGGGAGCTAAAATGATAAATTATTTGTTTTGCATTACTAGATATCAATACCATTATGAGTTTGTTTTAAAAGATCATTTGTAAATATATGAAAAAGTTAAAATATTTTTGGAACAAGTAATCCTTGGCTTGTGACTCTAATTAAGACTAAACTTCCAT